GTTGCAGTTTTGTTTTTTTTTTTTTTTTTTAGTTTTGCAGAATTGTTTATTCATAAAGCACATTATATTACAATAGACCGTGTTCTGTTTGTTCAGGCTCATTTGTATTAATATGTACAGATTGTTGCTTAAGTTCAGTCCCATGATAAGGTTTAGTTCAGTCCATATCTCAAGCTGTCCAGCTGTAACAGGGCATCTCTGTCTCTGGAGCTTTTGGGGTCTGAAGCTGTAAATGGGTTCAAACTGTTCAACTTTGAATCTTCAGCTTTGAGAACGGGGGTCACCGGATGTGTGTAGTGAGATCACACTCTTTGTACTTTGTAACATGGTTCAATCTACTCATCTAGTCCACACTCAGCTCTGTCGTTTTCAAAGAAACATTTAGAGAAGTTCCTGAGCAAAGTTAGAGAAGTAATGCAATGTAGCCCTGCTGTTACTGTTGTGTGAGTCTATCTGCAAATTATTTTTCAAAATCTTGTCTGGTGTTACTGGCTCTAGTTGTTCTTATTAATGCTTTTAAATATTTTTAAGTAAATATGACTTTTGATCCCATTATTGTGGGTTAACTAAAACCTCTGTGTGAGCAGAGAATGCTGAAAGTAATGTGTATAAATAGAGCAGACCTAAACTCACCACTCACCAGCCAATTTGGCTAATAAATTAAGTTTAAGCCATTCATAACTTCTACTAGCCCAAAAAAAAAAAAAAAAAAAAGACAGAAATAAACCAACAGTTTGAGGCTGTCTACACTGGGTGTGACAAAGTGACCATTGCAAATCATATTGTGTCAGTACTAGGGTTGTGCCCTATTGACAAAAAATAATATCAATATTTTCTGGGATTTTATCGATAAAGATAATTAGACGATATTTTGCTGAGTGTGTTATTGTGCTGATATCTTAAGGACTACCGTGGACAGCTGACTCCTAAAGTTTTTGATATTCTTCATATTCTGTGTGGTCAGTTCACAGCAGTGATAGAAATTAATATTTTCCAATACGTTTAAATTGAGTTTTACCTTTCATGGGCATTTTTACCTTTTATAAAGCAAATTTTTTTCTAAAAGTGTGCATCTTTTGAGTCAAATTCTTACATGTAATCAGTCAATTATAATAATAATAATAATAATACATTTAGGCTGTTACTAAACAAATTAAATCAGTATCAATAAAATTAATCTTCGCAGAAGTTGCATATGAAGTGGCATTTAGATGTATTTACACATGTTAATGCAGCTTAGAGGGACATGGAATGCTTTAAACTGCAGTTACAAATGCATAAATAATGTTTTGATATTTAAAACATGAAATG